TCTTTTGGAATTTATGTACCGTTGGGAGTTATGTAGTGACAGTTATCTGGATGTGTGATATAGGAAAACTTAGAAATTATCTCGAAGATATTCCACTACACTTTCTATCATGGCTGAACCAACCACTATATATGTATACACAAGTGAAGAGGGTTTGACACGAATAAATGTAATCAAAATGGAGGTGTATGAACCGGAGAAAAGGACCTTAGCACAAGCAAACAAAACTAGTAGTCTCAACACTGTAACACAGTTGTCAGAGGAACGCAATAATTTGGTTTGAAACTACTGTCAATTTATCACATATAAACTTATCTACGATGTGATTATAAACCATCCACAGTTAAATTATTCATAAGAGTTATTTAGAGTTTCATATTAAGATTGTCTATTTAATATCTTCATATTTCTTTTTATTCTACAATATTAGAATTAGAATTGAGCCAGCACCCTAGGTAGTATGATTCGAACTTATGAAAACCCTTCAATTATTAGAATAAGTTATGCTTTCCTCTTATTTGGTTAGTCATAAAATGACTTTATAAAGATTACACTCATAGCATTGCCTCATGATCTATCTCATCTGAATAACGTAACAACTATCCACCAATGACATTCTAAATATTTTAACATCATCTATATTGTGATTACTATAATTGTTAATGCGAAATGTTATGTGTTAATTATGTACAAAAAATGTTTAGTCAACCAATATGATTATGCAAATAAGCTAAATCTCTTACAAATATCACATCTAATAAGTAAATAAAGGACTAAAGCTGGTCAAAGAATTATAAACACTAATTCACTTTCAGATTTTGAGTTTTCTAAATTTATCACAGAATTATTAAGAATCAATATTATAATGACATCTTCGTCAATGTCAGTATTTACCTTAAGTTATCTTGGACATTCTACTATTCAAAAATCTAATGATTGCGAACTGGAAACAATTTATGAATTATTGATTGATTATTATTTGAAATTTCTTCGACAAATATCGTCTTCAAAACTGACTGCATCATCTGTATCACCAAATAATCACAAACCTGTTTTATCTTATAAAACAGTAATGACAGAAAATTTTGACAGTGTAATATTAGCTATTGGAAATGGTCATATTCTTATCAAATCATTAGATTACAAAGGAAATAAAAAAAAGGATGACAAATCGAAAAATTCATCAGTATTATCGTCGTTATCATCACAAATGGATGAAGATTTTTCGGCGTATCAATTGATCTATTTTAACTGTTATTACTTTGAAGTCGTAACACCTGTTGGGAGTAATATTAATCATAATAGTGCTCACACTGGTAACAATAATAAGAATCGTGATCACTGTTACGCTTATTTTCGTCGAATAATCGATACACGTCGTTGTATCCCTGAGGATGCATTGATCAAGTTAGATAATCAAATAACAAGTTGGTTATTACGTTATCGCACAGTATTACGTCCGCCATTGATTTATTTTATGGTCCCTCGTTTATCAGCGAACGGTGAGAATTGTTTAACTTGTTATGTATTTCTAGCGGAGAACATACAAATCGGTTTAAATGTTTTACGTTGCTTTTCGGAATTACGAAAATCATCTCCAGAGACAAACATTTTACCGAGAACATTGTGTAAATGTGATGCTTTAAAACCGATTAAGAGTGGGGCAATTCATTATCAATCTAAAAAGCTGAATGATAAATTAAATACAAATAAGTACGAGAATTCTCAAGCAAACTATTTATATGTTACAGAACAGAAACATTGTGAATGTTGTCAGCATAATCTAAAGTGTAAAGAATCTCCTTTATTATCAGAGAGAGCAACTAGATCACATATTGACCTGTTACAACGATTAAATTATCCATCTACATCAGAACCATCTATGAATGTTGTGTGTCCACAATGCAATTTAAAATATTATCCAGTTCATTCTAATCTATGTGAAAAGCACCGATCAAAGATAATCCAAATGAAGCTTGGTATTGAAGCAATGGATTACTACTATAATAACCATTCACAATATCAACAAAAACGTATCACTAATTCCGAAATTTCGAAACCAAATAATCGTACAAGAGATTATTCAGCTCCAACACAACTAGAGCATCGAGTGAAACATACACATATTGATCCATACGGTCAAGAATGCCCACTTTGTCAGGTTAATGCCAACAGTGATTTTAGCACATCTGAACATACTGGAAGACCGTGTTGTCGATATAAAATTAACGAGCGTACACGATCAAGTAATAGAACTCGTCAATCTTGTTCAGCATCACGTTATTTTATCTCAAAATCAAGAGATAATCCAAAATACTGTCATGCTCATTTAGGTGGATCGTTAGAATTGTTGCCTTAAATGAAACATAATATTTAATATTGAATTATGCTTATCCATCTCTGAATTTTGTGCGATTGAAAAAAACCATTATTCGCTTTTATCAAGCATATCCTCTTATTTTCAAATTTTAACTGTATAATGAGTTGTAGATAGTACTCTATCACATTTCACTATTGTTTTAATAAAATAAGGTATAACAAATTTTGTATTGTGCTAATTTTAAATACAGATTGCGTATACGTATAAATGTTATTCGAATAGTTTTCATACCCTGTAAACATGGTGTAACATTTTCTTTGACGTAGTCAAATTTTCTTTTTATTGTTTGACCTTATTAGGATATTAAGTCTCTCTATTACACTGTTATTTGTTATGATGATATCTGTACTGCATATTATTTGTTGTTTAGATAAAATTGTATTACATTCACTCCTCATATGAATAGAATGTACTATAAAATGCTATAAGTAGGAAGTTTCTAGAAGAAAATGTATGTTAGGTGGAATAGGTTTTGTCTTATAGCTAACAACTAAACATTTGTAATATATAGAAATTCATTAGTATCATATTTTAAATATCATGTCGTTCAAAATACAAGGTTTACAGTTTACAGACTGTGATAATCCACATTTAAATAGGTTAATGCATTTCATTTGAACAGAAATAAATAAGATTTTTTATAAAACTTTATACAGATCTTTTTATAGAGTTTATCATTTACATATGACTACTAATTAGTTCATTATTAATAATAAGAAAAGATATTATCTTAGGAAGCAATATTTAGATAATTAGTTTGAAATTATACATTTTCAATAAAGCTAATTGATCTTAGACAAGTGTTTATCGCTTTCTGTAAACAGTAATGTATAGAGATCTTAACCATAATAATAATTATTATTAAAGCCATTTCGCTAATAAATCATAAGAGTTTTGTACGTAATGAACATTAAGTCCTAAATTAGTAAACATTCTTCATGGGTTACATGAGATATGATCAACCAAATCTTCGAATGTTTGTTAACTTTTATCAATTACTTTGTTAGTTGACTATGTTATACTGACCAATTTTAAGAGCATTCTGATCTATGAGCTGAGAAGCTGGTATAGGTGTAGATATGATGTTTTCTAGATATTTTTTGTAAAGATTATTTCATGTTTATGTGATTAATATTACGAGTCACGTGTTTGACACAATTTGGATCATTATCTTTATTCTTTTATGTATAACTTAAAACATGTTAAAATGTTTACCCTTGTTTACTCTGATATAAGTAATTGTACATTAATTCAAATACTTGTATCATGATAATAATATTTAGAAAACATTAACATAAACAACGAAATGGTTTTGCCCTTTTATCGTTTTTGCATATGACCTTAAGAAATTCATAATAAAATTTCTAGGTTTGTTGATGAAAATATATTGAATAGTGCCAATAATAGTTTTATTATCAGAACTTTTAATTTCATTCGAAAAATATTATTGTGATTGGTCAGCTTGTTTGTTGTTTAGCTGTAAAGTAACTCCAAACATAAGGCAGGATCGAATATTAAAATTCAAATACTAAACAACATGGTACAGTTTGCTAATATCTTTTAAGGGTTTAGGAAGTGGAAACTTGACAAAATCATCGTATCCATGACCCCACCCCCAGCGAGATTCGAACCCAGGACCTATCAGTCTTGCGCGCGAGAGCTTAACCATCAGACCACTGAGCTGACTGGCATCCAAAGGTGTTAATGTCTAACTTCAACCAATCCACGAAATTGCACTACCGTACACTATTGTCTTCAGTGAGTTGATATCTCACAACAGACCTGGCTGAACTCCACTGGTAACGGCTTCTTACTAGAACTCCAAGAAATGCCTCTTGAAGTCAGTCACTAGTGAGCAGATGATTATTATTAGAAGGGGTTTTGTGGAGATTTTTAGAAACTTGAATAGTTGAAAACATGATTGAACGCACAAAAAGTTGATCTGGCTAAACATGCCTTCAAATTAACTCGAAGTAAGACTTAAATTACTGGTATATGCACCTAGTGATAAGGGCGAAACATAAGAATGATCGTTTAAAATTGTAAAGAGTATTTTTAAAGTTATTTTACGTATTAGATAAATATTCATCATGTCAAAAAAGTTTCTCATTTTGTTATTTACTTAGATATTTAGCGGAAAAATTTGTGTAAGTTAAAGAATATTTGTCTTGAAAAATAAGACCATTTAGAGAACAATCAAAAATGATGGATCTGTAGTTGTTATCACTTAGACGAAGACTCGTCAGGAATATGGGTTGACAATGGCCATTAAGATTAAAACCATAACATTCAGAACTCATGGCTAAGGGCTTTAGTTGCGAATCAATAAACCGGAGTCCACCAGTCACTGTTTACAAATCCAATCAATCAGTGTTGTTAATAAATTAATATCTCACTATTGATTTGGTTGACTTTGTCATAGTTCACCGCTAAAAAGTTCAGTAAACCCATCTTAAATCTATTTACTGACGAACATAGGACTACTACTTACTCAAATATCTTATGAAGTATAGACCATTAGATTCTGTCATAATGTTTCAAGGTTATCTTGCTTACTAAAAGTTTGAAGAATGTTCGGATTTATCCCATTTGGGCTTTTGAATGAATACTATTAAGATGTTTCAAACAGTGATGATATATATATTTAGTACTCTATGGGCTACAGTAGTTTGTTTATCTATATCAATTCATATATAGAGCCAATATTGAATAGAGTTTGTAACAAACTTGCAAAAATAAAACGTTTTAAAATCATTTTTCTCCCAAAAAATTCACTTTTTAATTTTCCTTAATATTTTAATAGGACAGAGAAAAAGGATTGAGAAGTATGAATACATATATATGTATAGTATTAATAATGTTTATGTAAGCATAAGTAAAAACAAAACAATCATCACTATGATAATCATTTGATTCAGTTAAGTAATTATTACATTTAATTAAAACCAATCAATTTAAGCAATTTATTGAAGACGACGACGACAGAGAAGAAGAACAATCAGAAAATGTTATCACTATCCATTTACTATTAGAAATTATGTTAATGCCATTTGTTTGTTTATTCTCAAAAATATATATAATTACTAGTATTTATGTATATATATATTACTAGTATGGCTATTCATGAAAATGAGATTTCTTTGGATGATAGCATTAATAATAATAATAATCAAAACTGAAACTGATACCATTTCTGTTGATAACTACTATGAGAAGGTGAAAAATGTGAACGAAATTGATTATGTTTTGTTTTTTTGCTTTCATGGTTGATAAGAATGATTATGGTAATGTTAAAGAAAAGATGACAATGTAAAACAAAGATGATATTGAAAATTTATTTCATTCAAGGTGAACAATGACTCATACATTCAGATTTTGTAACAAATCGATTATCATTTCCACCACATTCATGAAAATAAAATGATGTACAATCATTATTTTCTAGATCATAGAAAAAATTTTGTGATGGATTTTTTATTTGACATGATCCTGCATCAGGTGGTTGTTTACACTCAGATGGAACATTTTCAAATTCAATATCTAAGGAAGAAATGAAAAAAAAGAGTTTTTAAAAAATGTTAAGCAAAATGTAGTATGTATCAATGAGCTCTTAATGCAAGTCTGTAATTTATGACGATAAAATCATTTTGTTATCTAAATAGGGTCATATGTTGATAGTTTTGTGGTGTGTGCTTCTTATATTGACATAAGTAGTAGATGATGTTAGTCGTGAACAGAATGTCTGGCAGCAGAGAGACAAGAGGATCGAACAGTAAAGAATAGAAACAAAGTGGTATTTGTATGAATATGCAAGATCAATGAAGTCTGAGTCATTTTAAGACAACTGGTGGACATTTTGCAAATTAAGCATTTACTTTATGATTGTTAGATTTTATTAACAAGTCCTGTAATTTTGTGTTAAATACATTCGATTGTCCCAACCTGTGTTCTGTTCACTACAGTTTTACATCGTGAATTGACTGAAGATCAACGATTGCTAAACATCAGGAAGTACATACCGAAATGGTACTTCTCAGATGTACGCATTTATGACCACACTGAAGATCAAACACAGAACGTTCAAGTCTTCGGGAGAACATTTAACTTTCAGACCATAATCATAAATGTTCAGTCACTAAAATTACATAATCCGTTATTAATAAAATTGTGCAAAACAGGATTTTTATTCGGAAAAATTCAGTAGAGTTAAAATGAAAATAATATCCCTGTTAACTATGGAGGAGCATGGAGTTGAGTAACACTTTTTAATTGGTAAAGCCAAAATAATTAGAAGCAAATTCTCACTATTGAACTAATTGATCACCCACTGTAAAAAACAAGGTCCTACAATATTACATCGGTGAACTCACAGGTAACATTTTTGACTATGTTACTGAATCGCATGGCTTCAGGTCCCACAGGAAACATTAGCTGCCTTAAGTAATGAGGATATCCCTTTTTGATGATAGTCATTGAGCACGAAACCCAACTTATAAATAGGCTCTCTAGTGATTACTATTATTTCATTAAGATAAGATCCTCATATTTGCTTACAGTGAATTGTGGCGTAGTGGAACTTAACTTGAGTTTAATTGACAAGTGTGTTATGAAATCAAGATCATATCTCACCATACTGTTTAACGAGAGGTTAAATATGACCTAAGTAGTGAAGAGTTTACGTGACAGTTTCACTGAACATAATGTGAAGTTACCAGTAGCACTATTTATGCATAATTATCTTTTATAATTCACTTTAGACTTCAATGGATTTATTAAATTTAAATAATAACCATTTTAAAAAGGTTATAAATTCCATATTAATTTGTTTTTTTCAATGTTAATTTCTTTACAAATATATCAGAGACTGTTATAAACTAAACAAATTCAAATAATCCATCAAATACTTTTATGAATTGAAGAAATAAACATCAATATACCTGGTGCCATTCTCGTATTTCGTTTAGTAACACATACTGGTTGATCTGGTGGACATTCAGCTTCCCATGATTTAGAATGTTGTTGTTTGTAAACTTTGCATGATTGATCACCAACAAGTTCACAGGTTGTGATTGATTTTGGACATTTGGCAAACTGAGATCAAAATAAATATTTGATATTACATAAGTAACATGTAAATATATAATATTGGTAAAATATAAATAAATGGTTAGCTCATATACGAGTATTCTAATTAACTATGAAAAAAGAGAGTATACTTAACGTAAAGCACTTACTTTTTGTTCTTATCGAATGAATAGACTTAAAATCTACCTGGTTAGCTACAAAATTATTTTCCACTTAACTTCAGATTAGTATGTTTTATAGATGTTGTAGTATCGTGGTGGAGGAGGAAATAATAAAAAAAAAACTATTTTTGTTCTTTCCAGTTAATCATAAAATCAACACAATTGTTATTGTCATTTATTTGTTTAAGAAAGACTTGTAATTAGAAAGGGAAAATCACGTTCTATGAATACTATCATTTTAATGATCGGAATATTACAGCTAAAAACAAGTGGAATCAATATTTCAACCATGTTATAACTTTAGAACTTTAACTATTTGAAGTTACATCGGTTTTAGTATTAAACTTCCATTGGATAGCTGAATTGTATGACAATCATATTGAGGTAATATGATATTTTGAATTTCACCTCATTCAGAATCACGAACAGTCAATTACAATAGTACTGAATACAAGAAAAATGCATAACTAATACATTATTAGTCTCATTTGGTTTGTGCTAGATATTATACTGGAATGAAAATGAATTTCGGACTACTTAATCTCATTCACAAATGTAAAATTTCATTTTTGAACTCATTAATTTTATGGTGTGAATTATGAACTGTAGAGTCACCAAATAAACTGAACTTAAAAACATAGATTGTTTGGGTGAACGCTATGGTAATGAATGTAGTGTTAGTTGCTATGTTAAATCCATATACCTTATTCTAGCTCTTGAATGGGCTAATTTATCCACTCTTCTTGAGTCACGTTTTGACCTTGTTAATTATTCACTTATCAGTGAGTGTATAAAATATATGTATTCAAAAATCAATTATCGTATTCGACTTATTTAATTCCGTTATTCACCAACTCGATTTAAATCTATAATCATATAAGACAATAGTCCGGATATATATTTCGGTAACAATCATTCGTACAATCTAATTGAATTCAGATATAGGCCCCACTAAATAATAAATGACTACATGATAAAATCTGTATTACCACAGATTGAAATCATGAGTCAGTTGAAACTAGACCACCATGGAAAACCTGGAAGTACTGGACGGCCGTTTCGTCCTTGTATGGGACTCCTCAGCAGTGCGCATCCACGAACCCGCACCCCGCGGGATTCGAACCCAGGACCTACTGAGCATCCAGTGACTCAGTGGTCTAATGGTTAAGTGCGCGCGCGAAGCCAGTAGGTCCTGGGTTCGAATCCCGCGGGGTGCGGGTTCGTGGATGCGCACTGCCGAGGAGTCCCACACTAGGACGAAACGGCCGTCCAGTGCTTCCAGGTTTTCATGGTGGTCTAGCTTCAACTGACTCATGATTTCAATCTGTGAAAATTTCTAAAATTTCTACAAACCCCTTCAGATAAAAATCTGTATTAGACAACCTCTAGAAGTACTGAGTGAACATTTGTCCATTTGTGAAACTCGAAGATGATTTATAATTAAAAATAAAACGACTAGCTGTATGATAGAATAAATAGGGATTGTTTAAAATAATGTACCAGTATACACGGTCTCTGTTCATTGAATATTAAGAAAATCAACTAGTTCATATTGATTCAGTGCAATAATTTATGCATAATTTATACTGACAACAAAAATATATTAGTCATTGGCATATCACTTTTCCTATTTAACGTTTGTATGATGGAATGTTTAGTGTGTAGGCTAAATAAACAAAATTATTTTCATTCCATCATTGAGGTTCAAGGTTTCATTGTTAAATTGTATTATACAATCTTACAGACTATATCTATATGAAGTTTAATAATCGGCAAAGATATGTGGGAATTTTGTACGAAGAGGTTAGCAAATCATAACAGATTTGCCAAAGTAGAGTCTGTTTTAGGGATTTGTGGAGATTGTAGTAATTTTATAGTTGAATTCACGAGTCAATCTAAACACTGCTGAGGAGTCCAATACAAGGATGAAACAGTCGTCCAGTGGTCCAGCTCAGATTGACTCATGAATCTAGCTTTGAAAATAAAATCTACTCGTTTCAAGTAACTCTCTTCAGTGCTTTTGAACAAATAGACATAATAAACTAGAAAAGTTACGGTGCATAACAGCACCAAAATAAAATATAGCTGGCATAGAAACAATAGTTTGACTATACATCACTTAGTTAGGGTCCGTGATAATAAATGTTAATCTTACAAACATCAGATTGATAACTATGAATAAGGATGAATAAATTATCAGAGTCTATAATCATACAACAATTAAGATGATACATGTGATTTATTCTCTTGTTTATTAGAAGAGTGGGTACAAATGGGCTAATCATCAGAAAATTTATCGGTAGTTTATGGCTAGAAGTGATTTTAATGATATGTTTATAAATGATTAGAAAAATCATGGCATTTTGCACCGTTTGTGCAGGTTTGGTCTTCGCTTGGTATGCCTTGTAAAGAAGATGTGAATGGTGCCACCATTTTAAAAATTATATCATAAGGTTAAGTGGAGCCAAAATGCTGCACAATTTTGCATACCTCACATAAATTGTGATTATCTCGAACACATAATTCTTCGCAAGCTGTGCGGCTGTAAAATCTATTAGCATTCCCACCATATCCACGATATCCAAACCAGCGACATCTCCCATCATTCGAATCATAGTACCAAGAAGATAATTCATTAGAACCAACTCCTCTATCTAAAGGTTGACTACAAGCAATGTGTCTTGGTTGTCCATTTGTAGCTATTGATCTTATCGCCCAGCGAACTGGTGAATGATAAACTGGACGTGCTTCTTCTTTCTTCTGTTGATCATCTAGATAGATATTCTGCTTAAATTGCACTTTATTCTCCATGGGTTGATCATAATCTTTATTATATAACCATGGAAATCTAGACGAGTTGATAGCAGCCCCATTTGGTTGGTCCATAGAATATGGAGGATCCATATCCGATGATATTACAACTAGCAAAAGTGTAGAAAAATGAGTAACACTATCGTTTAGCAGTCATAAAAATTTTTTAACTTAAAGCGTGACTAAAGCACTGAAATAAAATTTTAGTAGATGGCTAAGGAGAAGAGGTAGTCTTATTCAGTTAGATGATGTCAAATGACGGTAAACAAAACACTGAACACTCTTCTTAAGAAAAGGTTTCAACATATTGATCTTCGGTTTTTGAGCGTGTCAAATAATAACGATAACAAGCATCTACTAAGATAATTATGACCTAGGATTGATTTTTATGATCGAAATTAATTCAGGTAAATATCTGTTAATTAAATAATCCATCTGTTTTAGCATTTAGGTCATGGATATTATCATTATATTAGACATAAGTATTAAAATGTTTGAATAGGAGTTTCTTCTTTAGTCATACATGAAGTCGCATAAAACTCATTTATACGATTATTTTTATACATTTATTGTTTTACAGTTTTTATTTAAATATAGTTTTACCAATAATGGAAATCAAAAAACAAGTTTTGTCGTTTCTGTCTGTATGTTATTAATTGTAGTATGATGGTTCATTATGATGTTACTAACGTTAGAGCTCGTTTGTATTTTAAAATATGCTAAGTAAATTTTTAACTTTTGTGATACTATTATAATTGTAGTACTAACTTGTAAAGCAGTAGTTTCCTTTATATTTCAAAATTTTTAATTATCCCTATTGTATAAGAAGATTGGGTTCCAGTGTTTATACAGATGATTCATTTACACATTACAAGCAAAAGTATTTAATAATTTAGCATTGTAATTCACCTATATATGTCCATATGTTAGATCCACCAAGCTATTCACACTGAAATGTAGATAGATTAGTTGAACTGATAATTTTTGGATAAATTCAAAATACAGTCCTTAGATTTTACTATATCCATACAGTTTGTACATACGAAAATAGAGACACTCCGGTGTAACACAAATTACTTGATTAATAATAAAAGGAATAGTTGTATGTGGTTAATCATTTAACTACTCAATCTCGTATTTTTTACCACTATATTAAAAGTACTTAGGTAATAAGTGAAACGAAAAGTTATATGTTTTATGAATTGTACACAGATTATTTATAGCTCCAGAAATTATGTTCCATGTCCAAAATGTCATTCTGACTATGAGAGCTAATGTTATAGTAGTTATCAAAGTAACTTAAGCATGGTTCTTCAAAGGCAATAAGATGTTAATAAGAAAATTAGACAAACTATTGTGAAATTTCTTTGATTTTAATAAAAAGTCCTAAACTGACTCATCAATAAAGAAAAATTGGTGTATTTGTGAAGAGGTTATATGGGTATTTGTATAAGCCATTAGTATAAAACTTATGCAAATTTCAGATAGTTAGAATATTATATTATCATTTTAATTAGAAAATTCATATGAATTCAACTTAGGTATTGATGAAGAATTTCAAAATAGTCATAAATTTACATGATGAATAGAGCAACTGAGATATCCAATCATTCTTAGCACTTATAGTTGGTAATTATATTTGCTTCATATAATCAGGTATTTGAAAATAAACAGATCTCTTTTACCACTTTAAAGCTCTACACTCACTACCTAATGGTATATCAAAATCAAAGAAACATTGGTCATATAATAATTGTGTTAAATCTAAATTACCTGAACAAAACATATTCACCAAGATATTTACTGTTCTTTACATGTCATGAAGAGGTATAAAATTAGATGTTGTTCATTCTTACTTTACGACAATTAATTTACGGATTCCCTGAACATTCATTTAGAAATCAGACACTAATAAGTGATAGGTTTGTCAATCAACTTAGAAAATTAATATATATAACTGTTTATTATTCATTACCTTGATATTTATTCATTTCTTCCGGTAAATCATAATCTTCATCATAAAGGTAGTCTGAATGAATTTGTGGCAATTCATTATCATCTTCCATAATTTGTCGTTGATTCCCCCCACCAAATGAATGAATCTCTTCCTCAGTTTGATTTTGTTGCTTGTACAACGGAAAATCTGTTAGTGTATCTTCGCGGACTACTTCATTTAATTGAGATGTAGTTGATGGATTAAATGTAGTAGAAAATGACCATTTTGAATAGTTTTCTTTATTAATATCTGAGAATATAGAGTGTGCAGGCGCTAAATGTGCTCCAGTAATAAAATTTGGTGGGATGTATGCACCACTTGAGTTCTTGGGAACATGATGAATAGTAGAGAAACCGTTCCCATTATTAAATATACTACGATTAACATTACTATTATTCATTGTGTCAATACTGTCTGTATGTGACATAAAACCAGCTGCAGCTGTTAGTACTATTGGTTGGCGCTTTGAATAAACTTTCTTGACAATTTGTTTACCTTCTAAAACAGCTATAAATGAATTTTTATCGAAACAATTAACAACTATAGTACATGGATTGGTGTATAATAGTTAAGTCAATAGATTACATATTTGTAGTCAAGTAACAGTGTATTATTTCTCTTCAAAATGCATATATTGAAAGAATCAATGTTAATCCCAACTACTAATTCTCAAATCGAACATCAGATGATTGTTGTAGACAAAAAAGTGATTCAACAATTTCCCTAGCAACTTAAAAGTTTTATAACTAGTTTAATCTATTTTTGTATATGACGCCGAAATAGTTGGTTTTTTTAACACTACAAACTTGACATTTTAGTAGTAAATTTTGACGGTAGACTAGATTAAAAAATTTTAGCTAGTTTTGATGGAGTGATTTTAAACTGAAATATACTTTATATTTCTATCAAAATCTTGTTTGTACGTCTGTTTAGTGTCAATAAAGGAATAGTTTTTATTTATTTGTGTATTCACGAATGAACCATTGATATTTACGATAACAGGTCTTGGATTTCAGTGCGGAATTTTTTATCCATTTGGCTAAATAGCATCTTCACATTTTAGCTGACGCCAGTTCGTGATAAAAACCCTAAATCTAATTCTTAACCTTAACCATCAAATGCAAATCACAATCACAGAGATTTAAAACCCTCATTTAGTCATAGGCAGTAGGCCACTTTAGCGTGGCTCAAAAGTCGTCCATAAATTATACTTTCAGCACAAAATCTAAGATCTTTCACATTAGGAATTGTAATATTTTGGTTAGATAAAACTATAACAAAAATAGACAAATGAATTGCCCGTATTAACTCAACAAAATAAAACGGACTCTATTATAAACATTTTGAAATCTAAGAGAACGAATTAGAAAAGATTATTTCAATAGCTAATTAAAGTAATTGGATAGTGGCTAGCAATGGAGTCCTATTTGGGACTCGTTAGCTGGATGTACTTGCATCCCGGAGTTGATGCTTATAAAGATTGTGACTTAAGGCAATATCAAGGCAATCTGTACAGGATGCACATACATTTGAAGTCCTAAACGACAATGAGAAGATACAAGCAAACAATACTAAGTGAATTTAATGAAGTAATTATTTATGCAAAAAAATCAAATAGATAATATCTTTTGTACTTTTCATGATTAAACTAAAAGAATCATTTGGCATTTACTTTGTATAGAAATAAATGTTTGTTTGAGATTACATTTATTATTAACTAGATGATTAATAGATAAATCTTCATTATTCATAAATGACTTCTATTACAGATTGGCATCATAACAATACCAGTGGAAATTAAAAATCATTAAACAGCTTTTTTTCATCTTAACATAGAACTTGTAAACGGTGTTTTATATAATAGAATGAAAGAAGCTGTAAATGATGGAAATAAGTAATGTTACTTATAATTTTGTTACATTGATATCAATGAACTGCTAAGTATGAACAATGAGCCTATGAGTGATATTTAATATGGCAACAGACAATTAAAATTACTTATCAAGTCTTAATTTTCATTGCAATTAAGTGATCTACAAGATATGTACATTATCAATAGTATGTTAAATTATTTTAAATTTTATTTATTATGTTAGTAAATATTTCGTGAATAAATGTTACACTGAGTGATTACTTACCATAACTTTCGGTAGATTGAATAAACAATAGATGGAGAATTTTCATGATCTAAAAACATAAAAGTCAAACATAAAAGACAGTTATCTGAAACATCTGTATCAGAATAATATCTTGATAGAAAAACAGAAATGGCTTATTTTTTTCATATAATCATCATAGGGTATATATTTGCGACAAATCGCCTTGCCGTATGGAAAACCTCCTCGTTCAAATGATAATCCTATAACCAGTCTATTCTAAATGAAGTGAAATATTTGTGAGTATTTCCACATATTTTTTTGTAAATCAATAAACGAAGTGATGTAGCATCAGTTGACTCGTGATCCCAACTATTGAAATTACTACAATCTCCACAAAACCCCTTCTGATACTAATCAACATATGCTCACTAGTGACTGGCTTCAACAGGTATATCCTGGTGTTCTAGTGAGAAGTAGTGACCAGTGGAGTCCAACCGGGTCGGTTGTCAGATAGTAACTCACTGACAACAATGGTGTATGTGTCGCTCAATTTCGTGGATTAGTTGAAGTTCGACATTAACACTGTTGGATGCCGGCTCAGTGGTCTAGTGGTTAAACGCTCGCGCGCGAGGCTGATAGGCCCTGGGTTAGAATCTCGTGGGGGGCAGGGTCGTGGACGTGCACTGCTGAAAAGTTCCATACTAGGACGAAACGGCCTTGGAGTGGTTCCAGATTTTCCATGGTGGTCTAAGTTCAACTGACTCATGATCTCAACTACTGAAACGAAGTGAAAGTGATTAACTTGTGTAATACACCTTTCCTGTTTTAATGCTGAATGTAAATTCCTACATAAATTAATCATTTGTTGTTTTTTCCTGAGTGCTTTTATAAAACGGAAAAATTATTTACATATCTCCGCATATTGCTACATAAGGATTTGCTTTCACAAAAGTGAAAGAGTATTCAGTCATAACAGATACAACAATAACACTAAATATTCATTGTATTTCTATATACATATTTATAGACTTGTTTTACTATATCTAAAGGAATAACATTTAATGAATTAACCAAGTAGAAATTGGTATTTCATCTTGGTAAATACTCATAGTTCAATTTTAAAATTCCTGTTTGGTTAGTTAACTTCCATAGAATTTCCAGACCTTTAAAATTCTAGCTAAAATAATTGGATATTTTGAAAGAATTATTTAATTATACGGTGAAATGTTTCCAGATAAATAAACAACAGAAAGCTTATTAGAATCGATCAAAATGATTATTCCTATAAGCATAATCTTTATTACTAGTTTTCATGGGATTCAGATACGATCTAAATAACTATATTCAACACTTCATATAGTTATACAACTGATTTATTTATTTTTGATAACTATTACTGTATATGTTTATATGGTACAAAATAACAAACTAAACACATATTATGTTGTAAGCGGAGATGGTTGGTGACTAGCAGTGAATTTCAGAATGTGTGTTTCGTCCTATTCAAGACTTGTGAGCTAGATGTATCTGCCTCCCACAGGTGATGTTCCATCCATGACTCGAACCCATTACCGTTCGCTTCAGACCCCACCACACTATTCACTTAATTACTGAGTCTAGATAAGCACTAGCTTGTAATATTTATAATGCTTGTGATTTAAGGCAATATCATGGCAATCTGTGCAAGATGCCTATATATGCCAATAAGAGACTGATCATTTGCAATCCGGAACATCAATAGGAAGATTCAAACAATCAATATAAAAATGAAACAAATTATATTGATTTGATCTCTTAAAGAAACATAAATTAAGAAGTTTATTAAAAAGATGAAAATATGTTATCTCACTTATTTTATACAACGATAACACAATCTAACTATAATCTCATGATCATATAAATAAAAGCATAAATTTGTTTATAAATATTATACATAGTTGTATAGTGAAGTAATGAAAAATGAACAAAACAAAAAAACAAAATCAGTTTCTTTCTAATCTATTCATTTATAGAATAAATGATAGTTTGAAATATAATAAAATGTGAATTGTAAAGTATCTTTGTAAGCAGTGGAATGCAGGACGCGCGTTTCGTCCTGCATTCCACTGCTAGCCACTATCCATCATTGCTTATAAATAGCTTGTGAATTAAGGTAATATTGAGGCATACGCACAGTATGCACATATGCCAATAACAGACTGATCAATTACAGTTTTAAACCTCAATGGGAAGATACAAGCCAAACAATACCAAGTGAGTATCTTTGTAAGATAAAAGTAATTTCTATTTTATATATAACGTATGAAAACAAGTATGTACATTGGTTTCATAAGGCAACTAATCAATAATTTGCATTTATATTGAGATGATTCACGTTAGAGGAATTTATGGTATTTGTTTGTTTTTTTTTTCCTTCATTCCATTTTTTTTCATGTATCCAACGTAAAGTGAATAGGTATTCATTAATGTTTATGTTTGTGTTTTGTATATTTTAGAAATGTAGAAAATATTTGCTATTCTATGAGGTAAATGACAACTTAATTTAATACTGTTAGTATTGAGGTCAAATGTCTGTAGGATCGGTCAAAATGATATATATTTATATGTTAGGTAAGTTAAAAAACTTTAATATGTATGTAGATTCTAAAATATACAGGAAAATAATTTAAGATTACTAAATGAGTCTTGAATATGTCTTCAATTGAAACGAGAGACATAGAATAATTGAAAGAAAAAAGAAATTGATGTGCAATCATGTAAGATTATGGATATGATCCTCAAAAACAAAGTATTTTATGTTAAAATAGATGTTTATCCATTATTAAAGGTTTATTAATTGACTAACGTTAATAATTTGTAATGAAATACTATTATTAGTACATTTGGCTTCTCATATAATAAGTCTATACCCCCCCACCAATATTCAAGGAAATAATTATTATGAACTCAGCCTTCTAATTAATACAAACGTATTGATATGAAGTTTTGATTTCGATTCACTGTGCCTAGCAACAAAAAGTTATGTTTACATATTTATACCTCATTATGTATAATGTATGTTTACCATAACTTTTCTTTAGGATTAACGACAAACTATTTAGTCTTGAGTTCGTTATTATTCACAGAACTATATAAATGTATGACAATATAGGGATTTCGTGAGTTGGATATTTTTCATAAGCTCATACTGTGATATTGTTGAAATAAAAGAAATTATAGTGACAAAATTACAGCGAATATATGACATTATACAATGACAACAGTACATAATTGATTAACTTACCAATGTTACTTGACCTGTCCTCATTCTGTGAGATAGAATTATAGTCAATGCAATTCGGAGAAAATTTTATGGAAGTAGAATCTAAAATTAAAAGATATTTGTATAGTAATTATGAGTATAAGATCAGGAGATTGCAAAATTAATTTCATACAAATTTTATCGTTGGTTAGTATTTGATAAAAAGCTGAATTTCACTGAGAAGTATATCAAAAAGCTTTACCTATTAGGTGGTTGGACCTAGATTCAGTGATAGTTGGTACTCATCAATAAGGTGTGTCTGTAGTCTTGAAAGAATTGATGCGCCTTTGAGTATAATAACCCACGTCATCCAGAGCCACAATTCGAGATGTTGAGCTATTTTGTCTGCGACTGATTAAAGTATTTATCACTGGCTAGCAAGCCCCACTATATCAATCAAAGAACAGCTTGATTGATAGAGTCCGATCGACTCTAAGGGCTAGACAAATACAATATTAATCGCTGCCCAGTGATAAATCAATGTCAAAATTGAGACTTTCTGTTATTTATGGACTGATAATAAAAGTAAAAAGAAATAGAAGAAAGTCGACTAGCGTTACTTTGTGACAAAATATCGAGCAAACACATATGTAAAAATAAACAGTGTTGATATGCTACGAGAAAAGCTGTAAAGCTAGTTAGTTTTGTAAACCTGAGATCGTAATTCATTGAGTATTGCTTGTGTTTGCAAATCCTATAACTGAACTAACTTATAAGCTTTTTCATTGTTGGAAAATCTTGATATTTATCATTAAATACTTATCATTATTATTCTTAAAAAATATCCTAGCTAGAAGCTTGTATGTTAGAAAAAACATAGATTCATCGATTTCAAACCAGTCGTATGCATTTCACACTAAAATAATAGAGAATAACATCACTTGTTGTTATCATAGGTTAACAATAATACTGACTATGTATTATTAACATTTTGTCAACCGGATCACTAATGTCAAACCAAGAAAGTTACACATAAGTTCATAACCTTCACATTTATAGAAGAAGGTTAACTCGATCAGTTTTAAAGTTATAAGAAATTATTTATATCAATGGAAAATGTTTTATAAACTATCAACAGTATATATACGAATATTCGTCAAGATTAGAGCGAATAGTTTGACAGTAATTGAACGCCGAGTATAGAGAAGTCATTATATGTGAAAATTATACATTAAGTTTCAAGAACAAAATAGAAAAACAGGTTGAACACACGTACATATAACATTAAGTCTGTATATATTGTATATATGAAGTCATATTATTTGATTTATTACACTTCATGTTTACAACACACAATAATTAAGTTAATTTAAAAAGCATTCAGTAATAACAAGGATTGTCTAATACATGTATCTAATTTAAAGAAGAAAAGAAAACAGTATAAACTATTCATAATGGTATTCTTTAGTAAAGAAATACAGATAAATCAAGACAAATATAGTTTATATTATAATATTCAAGCAGTAATTGAATAAAGTAAATTAAGCATTATAACATTTTGATTTATCTTGGACAACTGTAATCAAATGTGATTTTGTTTTTCTAACAACTGCAATATATTAGATTTTAAAGAATAAATTAATATGGGCAAGAATTTGCTTCTACAATCCTTAACATAACAAGAACTTCTAACCACTGAGTTGAAATCATCATTTTAATGGATGTAAGTGATGTGATGTTGTAATCTATGCTGAGTTGTGAGTTTATATCACCTCATGTGCAATTGAGTTTGTTCTCATTTAATTCGGTCAACCCCTTTTGTTAGCTTATTTAGCGGATAGAGTCATCCGTACTAATAACAACTTATTGTGCCTTTATTATTGTTGTGCTTGTATGAAATATATATGCTTGAACATTGCTTACCGCCTACGCATATATTCATTCTGCTAGCTTTATCATTAGCTGCGTAATTGATCCGATGGTCCATTCATTTCCCTATATATATACGCGTACATTTAAACCTACACTCTCTACTCTGTCAATACGCTAACTCATTCATTTGCCTCTCTGCTTGGTGGTCTGAGTTATCTGCTAATAAAAACTGTGGTCGCTGCTTCTCTTTGCCTTCTGATTTCAAACACCGTTGAGGATTATATGATAACGGTTATGAGGGTGATTGGTCAACGAAGCACAGGCACTACAAGTTTTTCTAGATGGTGTGTATCTACGGTATAATGAAATTCATTGGGTATAATCTGTCTAACAACTCAAAGATAGTACTTATTAATTTAATTAAAATTTGGATTATTCTATGACTGTTGGTATAAACAATTGGATTACCAATGTTTATTCAACTATTTAATACAGTTTTGCGACTGATATGTATGTATTTTTAGTTAAAATCTTGGTTTCAATATGGTTTATAGTTTCAATATTCACTATTCGTAACGATAAGCAAGTTACTCGTATTTGTATCAAACATATTTCAATCGTATATTTATAGAAATAATTCCAAATTGTGTATTTGTACAAATAAATGAGAGCTGAGTTAAAATCATCTAAGTTATCTAACATACCAAATAGAGCTTTAGAAAACAAAATATACCATGGAATCTTGTTTTTATGTAACCGAAATATCATTGACTTAAATGTAACAATCAACAGAAGATGATTTCAGTAGTCATTCATCTATCATTTCATAAGGTAAACCATTTTTATATAATTTTAGTTCTGAAATATAATGATTGGTAACGTTCAAACAATCATCATAAGCAAATATGTTCAGTTTTATGTGTTTTAAATGAAATAGGTAAAACTTTGGAACTTAGCCTGTCCTAGTACAACAACATACAAAAACTATCTAATATAAACTATTCAAGCATTTAAAAGCTACTGAATGGCTGAATTAATTCTAAACAAAGAAAAACTGTTGTTAGCATTTTTTGTTGTTGTTGGCTAAAAGCCAATAAAAATTGCATTTTTATTGTGCGCAAAATGATTTACTTTTGTTTACCACAAATCCGTACTATTAATTATGTGTAAAAAAATATTCCGTTTATGCGTTTTCCCTTCGTAACTAAAATACATATATCTGTTTCTTTATTTATTTTGAAAAAAATAAACGAAACATTAGTTTACATCATATAATATTAAGAGAGATGAATATTGGTTAAACGATAAAAAACAAACAAATCATAAACCATCTTGTTTTATTCTAACTGTATATTCTGGCAATTTTAAACAGCTAGAGGAAACGATGTATATATATATATATATCATTAAAGCTCAACATAATGTTTTTATCAGAAGGGGTTTTGTGGAGATTTTAATAATTTAATAGCTGAATTCATGAGTCAATTAAATCTAGACTACCATAGAAAACCTTGAAACACTGGACAGTCGTTTCGTCCTAGTATGAGATGGTGCAGGATCATGGATATACACTGCTGAGGAGTCCCATATATGGACGAAACGGCCGTCCAGTGCTTTTAGGTTTTTTAATGGAGATCAAGCTTCAAATGACTCATGAACTCAGCTGTGCAATGCTTTTATCAAAATACTGACTTGAAATTTACAAAAACAGTTTGGGCAGTTATCAAATTAATTTAACGATGTTGATTAAAAAATTGGTAAAACTGTGTTCTCTGATAACTTTGACAAAAAATAATCTAACTTATAAGTAGTTTACTTTATTACAAAAAAGTCTCTTAGTGAGGATAAATTCATTGTAAAATAGAAGTTACTTATTGAAATACTATTAACAACTATTATACATTGTAGATATACTTGTACTTCACTATATATTTCAGTATAACACTTAAGTTATTCAACTGAAGTTTTAAAAGATACTGGTTATTAACAAGTAAAGATAACTGTTCTCTTTCACTGTTGAATAAGTTTTAATCTCTAAGATTCAAGAAACTTCCTTTTCACTGAGTGTGTCGGCACTGCATATATATGTGTAGATCGTTATTCGAAATGAGTGAAATTATGGTCTCAAAGTGCATAACAAATCATCAAAATAAAATTGAGTTTAATTTAGATAAATTCACAATACTTAGGTGTAGTTACTCTTGAGATGGTACAATGTTGCTGTATTAGACTTGATCAAGTGTATGCTTGTACTGACAAGCAGAATTATTTATATGACAGAATTCTGTAAATCAATTTACAAACTTCGTCTTTTTGTATAGCCTACATACATTCAATGTTGGATCAAGTATCCCTGGTATGCTCGCAGAAAGTTATGAATTCTTGATTAGAAGTAGTCAAGTGGACGGTTCATAACTTTAGTCTATGATACTAATATATTGTATTATATTGAGATTCATTAAATATATTTGAAGGGTTACAATTATCTCTTAATCCTCCCTACTATCTTAAAATAAAAACCTTTTTTAATCTTGCAAGATCAAAAATTTCAAAGCGATATCCTCGTAATTTTGTGGAAAATCAAGTATTTCCAAATTACATACAATGGTTATTAGTTGAATTCATGAGTCAATTAAACTCCTCAGCAATGCGCTGAGGAGTTCCATACTAGGACAAAACGGTCGTTCAGCGTTTCCAGGTTTTCCATGACAGTCTAGCTTTAATTGATTCATGAATTCAACTACTAAATTACTAAAATCTCCATAAAACCTTCTTCTGAATATGATTTATGTTCATTTATGCACATTCATTTTTACTACTTTTATTCACGTAGTAGGAGCTTAAAAATTACAGATGAAAACTGGTGTATCCAGTTTTATCTTGTAAAATACTAACCTGATTTATAGATTATGTACCGCTGAATTATATTTATAGAAGTATATCTATTGAAAATGCCATACTTTTCAATGAGAAAAAAGAAGTGACTGACTAAAAATGGCATAGATAAACATTTAAACAGAGTAAAATAAGTATTAGTGGACTAAGAAAATACTGTTTGGAGGGACATCAATGTAATTAGTTTTGGTTTTTGTCGCTTAAATAATGACAACCGCTAATTTCTATCACATACTTAAATTTTATCAAAAAGCCTACAATGTGTTGTACAACTGACGAAGAAACTGTCACTTGACTTCATAAAAAGGCTCCATTTATTGTTGTGCTCATTCTTATCTCTTTTTATTATTTGGTACTTAAATGACAGAAAAGTAACATAATATCGCTTTTAAAACCGTTTTTTTTGAATCACAAAATAAGTGGATAGTTGAATAACTTAAACAGAAATTTTTCACTTACTACGGAGTAATAACATATCAGCTATTTATAATGGAAATTAAATTAAAAATACTTAAAGATTTGACTGTTACTATGTAGTGGAATTGTTAAAATAATGTTGTAGAGTATGGCTTTTCAGATGACAATACCGGTATTTATGTGAACATCTAGCTACACCAAATGAGCTTTCGTGCAGAAAACTACAAATAACAAGCAATTACGAAATTAAGAACTTTATAGGTTATTTAAAACAATAATTCAACAAGTTCCATCTATTTAAGGTGTGTGTTCAACTGTAGTTAGTTTCTTCACTATTGTCTTCGTGTTACATCAGCTTGTGTGCACTTTGTATCAGACTTTCGTATAGATTTGCCACGTTATAGTTTCTGTATCGAAATTCATATATAGGTCAAGCAGAAGTATTATTCATAATCTGTGTTTAAACTATGTAATATTATTTTGAGAGGTTTGAACTGAAAATGTCTGACAGCATAAGGGCAGTTATTACAGAGTAAATCAAACACTTTAGTTAGATGGTTGTCTAGCTACTATTGGTAGAATACTTGAAAATGAAAATTCTGGCGTTCGAACTTCACAAAAGATTGAGTAGCACTTTTGAACTTCTGATATAAACGTATGAGGTTTATTAATTAGAAGAACGATAAGACACCAGATAAAAAATTTATTTAGATAAGAGTAATTGCATCAGTAGCTAAGTGGATAACACGATGGTGTTTGAAGTGAACGGTACTGGGTTCTAGTCCCAAAGTGAACATTAACTCTGAAATTCAGATACATACAGCTGACGAGTCCCAAATCAGACGAAAAGCGAGTTCTGGATTCTACTGCTAGCCACTATTCATCTTTGCTTAATTGTACCAACGTAGAAAAACATCCATTAATTATCAAAACTATTGTTTGTCTTTAGAAATAAAACTAAATAAATGAATATTTCGCTATTTAATATTTTTTATTAATATCAGAGTGGTTTAGTGGATATTATTGTGATTTTAATAGTTGGGATCATGAGTCAATTGAAGCTAGATCAACCTGAAAAACCTGGAAGCACTGGACGGCCGTTTCGTCCCACTATGGGACTCCTCAGTAGTGCTCATCCACGATCCTGCCTTGCTAGATTTTATTACGTCAAATATTCCAATATTTTTGACAAATATTTATTCTCATAAACATGTCAAGGTCATTAAAAGACCACACTACATGTTTTAGGGGAATTCACAAAATTCTATAGTTCATCTTATTTCAAAATAACTTTGAATTTACACAACTATCAAACACTATGAGATCGAATGGTTTGATTTATAAAGATAATTGAAAAGCAGCTTCTCTAATCATTACTTTTACTAAATCACTTTTGTTTCCCATTAATCTGTTTTGCTACTTCATTTCTACTGCTTCTCAAAATAGTGTATTTTCACATAAGGTTAAGAGGGTCAAGTATGGTAAAAATGACCATAGGAAATAACAAGCAGTTTACCGAAATTCAGAACTGGTTTTTATTCATAAGTACCACAGAAGTCTGTCTAGCCTTATTATAATTCATCTTAAGTTCTTACAGATAGGCCAAAATTATCATCGTTATCATTATGAACACTTATTGGCTGTTACTCCATTGTCCCACAAAAATTCATGTGATATAACAACAAGCTATAAGAACTGATGACTCTAAAATTTTTGTAAGATACTCACCTAATTAGTATTAATTGGCCGGTTTTTTATATTTGAACTGATTTCTAATACCGTTGTTTGTAATCCATTTATTTCTGATTTAAAAAAAATAAACTGAACAGCTTTTTTTACAAAGGTACAGACTAATAATTTACATTTACGTTATACTTGGTATTATATATAGATACATGGATGTACCCTTAGTTTATGTATGTGTCTATAGGCACTATAATCATATTTTGTATTGGGCAATTCACTACTAGCCATTCATGCACAATTAACTGTAAAAATACCGGTTATATTGAATTACAAACTTAGTAAGCTGACACGTGATGCTTAGTTTAACACAGATGATTAGTATACATTGGTCTACACTAAATGACCCATAAATTTATGTACGTGTGTGTAAATGCCAAATCGAAGTTTTTCTGGACACATTGAGTGAATAGTGTGCTACGTATCCTATATTTCATTCAATATTATTTACAAGTTGGAATTTAACCTTTACATTGAGGTTAATTTCTATTATAGGGAGAAAGAAATTATTTTCAGGGCAAAGAAAATTGTTTTACAACATTTCAAATAACAACAGTTTAATAGAAATATTGACAATGAACTATTAAGTAGATAATTTGATCATAAATACAAATTTATTTATGATTTCGAATGAAACATACTGATAGTACAAGATTTCTTTTGCATCATAGATCATGTTTATCTAGAGTGATGTGAATAATGTGAAAGTAAGTTTCAGCACTGATAATAAAATGTGAACATATGACGGTATTTTTATTCTGCAAATGATAGTCTATTAGCTTCATTTCCAAACCATCATGTAATAAATAAGAAGATATTGACAAACTTTCTTAATAATTAGTCGTATATGATTTAAGCAATTAGTGAATCGAAAATGAAGTCATGAATTTAAGGGCTTATTGATGTCTACGTGTTTCCAAATGCTAAGATTGGTATTACTTATATAGAAAATTGAAGCGAATAGTATTGTGTTCGAGTCCCAGAGTGAACATGAACTCTGAAATGCATGTACATTCAGCTGATGTGTCCCGAATAGAAGGAAACGCGCTTCCTGAATTCCACTGCTAGCTACTATCCATCTTTGCTTATAAAGCTTGTGACGTAAGGCAATATCGAAGCAGTCCGCACAGGATGCACATATGCCAACAAGAGACTGATCAATTGCAGTCCTAAATAATTCATGCTTTTATCATTTTTAATAATATCTAATTCAACGAAAGATGGTAATTAACTCTCAAAACTGATGGTATGTAGATAGTATGTTTCAGTCATAGTATATACATTATTTCTTTATATTAATACTTAATACTATATTTCATAGCTCAACAATATCCACATACTTTTCATAAAGTTGATGATATTTTGGATATTGAATCGTGGTATATTATGAATTCTTTTATATACCATTTCCTATATTCGAGAATAACTAGTAGTATACTGATAGTTAATTAAATTGTGTTGATAATAATTCCAACTGGAAATTCGGTACAATTACTAATTGTTGTAAATTTATTTGTCTTAATGAAATCTGATGATTCATTGTTGATATTCTTCTGTATTCGAAATAAAGATGACGAAATGTTTTTGCTTATAACAAAGTTAATATTATTACTGTTAGATGTGTATAAAAGACCAGTTATTTTATGAATGTACTACATAGTTGTCATTACTAAACATAGTAACTGTATATTATAAAAACAAACATTTCAGAACCTATTCTCTTATTCATTTACTTTATACTAGTCATTCAAATAACTATAATGGAATGTAATCTTACTTCAATTTGTGTCATTATCTAATTGAAGAATGCATCAACTAATGGATAGCGCAAACATAACAACTGTCTTTTTTTTACCATAATACAAATGCTGTTTAAATGCAGTTATTTGCATCATTTCAATCTTTCATGGAATGAAGTATAAACTATTAGACATTACGTTTTATTAGGAATGCGTATTATATAGAAATCGGATTCAAGATAACATTTGTGCATGTGTTTTAGTTAGTTGTGTGCGTGTGAATCAGCCGGTAAAAAGGTTACAACAATGTTTAGTTAAAATAAAGAATAAATCCTAACTAGTTTCTATTTTTAGGTTAGTGTTTTTCTGCGTATAAACTGAAGGTAAACTTTTTGACATTCCGATTTAGAAGCAAAATTTTTGTGTATATATACATTTCTAGAGAAATCATAATTCATATTCTGGATAAGGGCATAATATATCTGTACAATTTTAACAGTTTGAATCGTTAGTTGATTTAGGCTAGACCACCATTGAAAACCTGGAAGCCTCAAATGAGCGTTTTGCCCTATTATGGGACTCCTCATGTATGCACACCCACGGTTCCTCACATGGGACTTGAACCCAAGACTCTTTACTCCTAGGCCACGTGGTCGAAACCCGACGATGTGAATATCCAACTTCAATCAATCTATGATCTTGCGCAACTCTTCATTCATTGACTGGGGTGAATAAGTGTCTCACACTCGACGCGGATCGAACTATATTAATCACAGCTTTGTAGAGTTTGTAGAATTACCGAATCTTTTCATGTAGCGCGCAAGAACTTAGTTACTGTAGCTAGTATATTAGGTTTATCCAGATAGAAATGTATTCGAATTCTTATTTCGCTAAACACATATTTATCTGTGGAATAACTGTTTGACCACTGGTAGGCTTACTCGTTTGAAACCAGCTGTGACGGGTTATTAGAAGCAGGAAAATGGTTAGATATAACGTGAACATAAGTTTTTTAGTGAGATTAAGTAATCACAGTGTATTTGAAAAGTAGTTTATTACCCCTAAAAAACCTTTAGACAAAATAATGTATAAAGATTACTGTCTAGGCGTAACATGGATAGGGTTTTAATGAGAAAAAACAGTTTGGAAAAAAATTCTTTACAAATTGTGTTAAAAGTAGTTTACACGTTAATTATTTTCTCTATCCTAATCCCATTTCCCTCTCAGTAAATGAAAAAAACATGGTTCGTTTTAGTTTTTCCAATAGTATTTCAGTAAACGTTAATATCAGTGACGTAATTATTTGCGATTCAATGTTATTAAAATTTAGAATTTACTGATTCCAAAAATTTATTCGAACAGTACACTAATGTACTTTTGGAAGGGCATTTTCATGTAGTTTTTTTTTATCAAAAACTGACAAATTATTCAAAGTGGCTACATGTCTCAGAAAACAATGTCATATGATCTCCTGTATAGACAGAATTTTGGTAGAAGAGATTTTTTTCAAAACGGAAAATCTTCGATTCAATATTCAAGATTTGGATATCTGCCGGTTAATCAAGTAAAAAGATTATTACTTTACCATTTTATCACTATCAAATTTAATGCTATCAACAACCCATTAATGTACATTAAAAACAGAAAGAAATCAGGTAAGAGATTTTTACCACTGACATGATCATTTAAAACTAATTTTTCAGTCCTCATTTGGACGTGTGTATAATTGGTGCAAAATGAAATTCGTAGGGGAATCCATAACAGAAAGGGCAATAAACCTTCATACATTTTTTGTTTGGATGTTGGATTTATTGATATGTGAACAGAATTTTCTTTACATCTAATACTGGCATTTAAATATAAAACGTAATGATGAAATCAAATGCAATGCGAAATTATATTGAGAAGTAACACTGGGTGTTCAATAGCCAAGAATTGTACATTTGTTTCAAACAAAATCTTCCAGTCAGTAAAGTGTATAGTTTTTCTTACTAAAGAAACAAAATATTAACTACTTTAGGATAACTTATTATAATACTCAATATAGGCAGTCAGCAAGTTCAGGCCATGAGGAAGTTGTGTGTAAAAAAATCATTGAGTTATATTCATATTAATATATCATCAACCTGATATGGCAGAGAACAAATCAGCCTCCAGTTGATGAGGAATTTAGAGGACGCTAGAGGTGGATAGGACAAACATTGAGGAAATCATCGAACTACATGATGAAGCAAGCACTAACTCGGAATATTGAGGTGGAAATGAAAAGAGAAAGACCGGGAAAACATCGAAAGGATCAATAGCAACTGAGAACAGCTAGAAAAGATTGCTCAGAAGGGGGGATGCTTGTGGATGGTCTGTACTTCTCCACGAGGGGCAAAAGATGTAATTAGGTAATATAGAATGTTCATATTAATTACTGACCGTTATCTAACTACCAGGAATTATATACATATTTGATATTTTATTCAGGTATGTATGGTATGATTCCGCAATTAATTATATGTGATTTCAAAATCTAAAAATCTAGAATGCAACGAGCTAGAAAAAAAGGATCTCATTATACTTTTGTTTCAAACAACTTTATATTTGAAGGGGTTTTTTGTGAATATTATAGTAATTTCAATAATTAAGATCATGAGACAATTTAAGCTTGACCACCATGGAAACCCCAGAAGCACTAGATGGCTGTTACGTCCTATTGTGGAACTCCTCAGCAGTGCTCATCCACGATCTAGACTCACGAGATCCGAGACTGACAGATCCTGAGTTCGAATCTCGTGGGGCTTGTTCATGGATGAAGAGTTCGACAATAGGATGAAACGGCCGTCCAATGCTTCCATGTTCTCCATGATGATCTAACTTCAATTGACTCAAGATCTCAACTATTGAAATTCTTTATTTGATCACAGTATACACAATAAACAATCTTGAACTTGAAATTTAAATGTTTGTTAAAATATTAAATAAAGTAAATGATTTCTTGGCGAGACTATAATTTATGGACGAGCCAATAAGAGGCGTTTTAGAGATTTCATAGTTACAGCACCAACTTCAGTGCTTAATGCTAACGCACGATCGGTTCACAGGGAATTTTGTACAAAAATTGATAATTGAGCGCCTATAACAAATAAAACGGCAAGACTATAATTTGTGGACGAATCAATCAGGTATAAGATAATAGATCTCGGATTTTAACGCGAAAGTCTTTCATCCATTTGGCTAAATAAAATTCTGGCATTATAGCTGATGTCAATTCGTGATGAAAATCTAACTAAGGCGAATCACGACAATTATTGTGAACTGGATAATAAAAGCACCAGTAACACTGGCTGCAGCCAGGTACTACAATATATACGGATGTTTGGAGAGCGTACAGACTATTACGTAAACTTAGTTATGT